AATTAATGTGAAATATATGCATTGAGAGATATGATTGGTATTATTATTTTGCCTATACTAAAATGTATGATATATTGATGCCACACTGTTAGTGTATTGTTGTGCATATGCAGATTGAAAAAAAAATTTTTGGAAAAAAAATTAGGCATGCACTTATTCAAGTATAGGATAAAATCAAGAATGACCACTACACTAAAATACCAAGTTGGCTGTTGACGATGGAGGCATTAATATACCCAAATGCAATGGATCTGGCCAAAATGAGAAAATATAAGGATTTGCTCGATAAACAAGGAAAATTAAAAACAATACAGGAATTAAAACAGCAAAATATAGACACTGCCTGGTGGCTTTACATGCAGGTACAGGCAAATTACAATGTCTTCAACATTGATGCAATTGTGTTTTTTTATGTTTTTAAATTGTTGGAAAACTGTGATGACCTGGGGCATGGTACAAAAGCAACAAAGTCACAAAAGGAGGTAAAGTCCCTTTAATACCTCCAAATTAGCCCCCAATGTCCAGTTATCATCAGCTGGAGAAAAAACTCTCCCAAAAACAGTTTTTAAAGGGAAGAAATTTAGTCCAAACCTAAAGTACATATAAATTATAAATAAAAACCAACACAAACAGCAATTAACGAGACAGAGCAGGATAAAGAATTGCATACTTCAAAAGATAACGAAACACACAGTTGGGAGGACGTCAGAACCATGATAAGAGTTGAGAAAGATAATTCACGCTTTGCTTCCAGCAAGGTGTTGTGTGCAAACGCCTTTTTAAAATTGTTTTCCCAACTGCTGCTAATAAAGGGAATCATGGCCCTCTTCTCCCCTGTAACATGTTGCTCCCTTTTCCGTTCCTCCCTATGTGCCCTAGGATGAAGAGGGGGTGGCCCTGGGTCTTTCTCTGAATGCCCAGCCGGATTGTGCCCTTTCCCAATTTCTTCCACAGCCACCAGAACCACACTCCCACTCCCTGTTAGCTGCTCAACCCCCCCTCCCCCCTGGAATCAGATTCCAACAGGGGCATAACGAAAACTGAATAAGGTTTATTTTTTAAAAAATAAAAAAGGAATATAAATTTCCAAAAATATTGGTAAAATTTGATGAGAAAGGAAAAAAAAAAGAGAAAAGTGAAAACTGATTCAACAGTGCCATCTGCTGTTAAAAGAAGATACTACAGATTCCCAAAGTTTTGATAAGACCTGGTTTAAGGAGAACCAAAGTGAGAAATAAAAGGCTTTTATTATTAAAGAGCCCAGAAAGCTACAATACACAATTAAACTGGTTGAGGAATTTATCAAGATTTCATCCTTGGACTACTTAAAAGAATAGAACAATTAATTTTGGGATATAAAAATTCCTGGACTTTAGATTTTTAGTTTGAAAAGTGACAGGTTTGAATAAAGGACTGTTAAGACAATTGGACAGAAAGAAATAGATTAAATAAAAACAAAGATGAGTGGAATTTGCAAATAAATTGCATTGGAATTTCAGGACTTTAAAAACACAAGAAGATTTGAGGACATTTTGAATAAAATACAAACCCTGGAACTAGATCTGGAAATGGAGACGCAAGTGACAGAAGGAAAACAGGAGATCCAGAAAGAAGAGGGATCAATTGGAAGAGTAACCAGTAAAACCGAACAGATGGAACAACAAATAAAAAGAAATGACAAAAAAGAAATAAAAATAAAAATAATGATCGATGTAATAAACCAAGGGGAGAGTGTTTTAAGGGAAGTCAAACAGGAACTGGAATTCCAGGGAAAAAATTTTGGGAGAAAGACCAGGGTAAGAGTAGATAACTTGAAAATGAGACAATGGAATATAGTAGAGAAGGGAGGAATGATTAAGAGGGATGGTCAAAAATGATAGAGACAAAAATCAAGAGAGGAATATGGGAGACAAGCTACGAAACAATTAATCAAAGTTTTAATGCGAGTAAAAGATGATGGCTAAAGTGGAAAAAATGTTATAGTTTCATATAAATGAGCGTTATTATTAGTAAATACTAATAATACACAATTGTTATATACAATTGTTAAATGTAATAAACATGAATATTAACATTCTATGGTAGGAAAAGAAATATGTGGAACCTGATTGAAACAAAAATAATGTAGTGAAATATAACACAAGATAGATGTAATTATATTATTAGAATTGCACAATTTGTTAAATGTAAATATGATGAATATTTTTTTATTTGTATTAAAATGTGACTAGAAAGGGACTTTTCTTTAAAAATAGTGGCAAATTAAAAACTAAAAGGGATAAATAATGGGAAAATATAAATCAATATGAATTTATGAATGGTTATAAGAATTATATAAATTATTAAATACTGCAAATATGACTTAATATATCTATAGTAAAAGGAATGATGTTAATATAGAGACAATTCTATTAAAATTATATAATTTGCTATAATTACATAACTTGTCACATATAAATATGATGATTATTATTTTATCTGTCATTAAGTTTGCAAAATGTGATTAGTAAGGGGATATTTTTAAAACATAATAGTGGCAAAATTAAAAATTAGAAGGGATTAAATAATAAATACTAAGATTATAATTATAATTCAATATAAATTGGTGAATTATTACTGGAATCACATAAATCTATTAAACACTACAAATATGATTAATAATATTCTACCTGTAGAAAAAGAGGGATATTTAAAACATGGAGATTGACATAAAAATAAGATACTAAAATGGTGCAAAATCAAAGAATATACCGTATTTATCGGCGTATAACACGCACAGGCGTATAACACGCATTCCCTTTAAGAGGGAAATTTCAGGAAAAAAATATGCGGCGGGCGCAGCGCTGACATCACGTCACGACGCTGCGCCACCGCTAGGCACTACTGGGAACGGGATCCCTTAAAGAGGATTCCGCTCCCTGGACATCGGCGTATAACACGCATACATCATTTGCCCCCTATTTTCAGGGGGGAAAAGTGCGTGTTATACGCCGATAAATACGGTATATGTATTAACATGAAAATTTATAAGATTTTTAACTGTATTGACTATGAACAATATTGTCATATTTGTTTTAAAATATAAGACAACCTGGTACCAGTGTTCACACAATATGTTTGTAAATAAGAAGAAATAAAAAAAAATATACCAAAAAAAGTTAGATTCTTCATATATTTTTATTTCTCCAAAAGCCATTCATCAGAAAATAGGAGAATTTGCCCTCTGTCTCAGGCTAACATGATCATCAATGCCAACAGCAAACTCTTGTGATGTCAAAGTAACATGTGTACAGTGATGTCATCACACAAATACATAAGTTGTGACATTTGCATGACAGTGCTGCACAATTCATTGTTTGCCATGTTTCTAACAGTTCTGCAACATCCACCTTAAGTAATGATGTTAAGAAGATGGCATAATTACCGGCTATGTTAAGATCAGAGGTGGTATTCAGCAGGTTCTGACCAGTTCTGGAAAACAGGTAGCAGAAATTTTTAGTTTGGAGAACCGGCAAAGACCACCTCTGACTGGCTCTGCCCCCATCTATTCTCTGCCTCCCGAGTACCAGCTGATCAGCTGGGTCTTCTTTTGTTGCCCTGCACAGGGGAATGGAGCTGGAAAGCAGGTTAGTAGGGTGGGGAGGAAATGGAATTTTGCAGTGACCTCCCAGGCGTGGGGTGGGAATGGGAATTTTGCAGTAACCTTCCCACAGGAGTAGGGAGGGAACAACAATTTTACAGTATCCTTCCCCTGCCACACCCACCAAGCCACACCCACTGGTAGTAAAAAAAATTGAATCCCACCACTTCTTAAGATCTATATAAAAGTTGTGTGTTATTTGTTTAAGTGATATATGTCTCAACTGTAAAGCCAATAGTAGTGATGATCTCTTTTACTCACTTGAGAATCACTTTCTAACTAAAACATAAATTATAAACATTTTAAATACTGTAAATATATTCTTTCAATATGTCTCAAGTAGACAATTACTATTTGCTATCTGTTTTATGATCTAAATTTTGGGGGCTTTTCTAAAACGTTCTGTCTTTATTTACAAGTAAATCACAGGAAAAGATTGGCTGTAACATAAAAACCCTAATGGGCCTCAATCTATCAGCTTTTAGAAGAAGATAAGTTTGTTGATAACAACTTTCCAAAATATCCTTTTCTTCAGCTTGAAATTCTATATTTTCATCCGACATACCCATATTCCTTATCTGTTCAAAAATGCTTCTACTTCAGCTTTTCATTTACAGGAATAAAAGCACTATGTTAGATGCAAGTTTTGTCATATTTAGAATTAACAACTGAAATCAAGAAGTGCCACAATCAAATTCCAAAAAAAATCTATATCAATCTATTCCAATTTCCAAAATAGCACCTGTGGCACCAGTGAATAAAGAGCCAAGAAACATACAGAAGCCTAACAGTTAAGACACTAGAAATTATTTTGCTTCGCTAGCAAAATGTTTTGCACATTATTTAGAGAAATCTTTCTCAAGCTATTTACATGTGGTATTAGACAGTAATTATCAAAACTCCCAAACACCGTAGCCAATGAAACGTGCCCAATATATTAGAAAGCAAAGGCCAGGAAAAGCTAATTATAAAATGAAGTAAAACATACCTTCAGAAGAAAGATCTGTCCTATCCCTCATAACAATTTAACAAAATTTCTGAGAGAAGAGAAAGTTACTTGTTATAAGATCATTAATAATCTTAGTTTGGATAGTTGAATTGTTGGATTAATGATAGTCCCATACAGAAATTAAAATTAACACCTGGAAACCAATAAATGATTGAGGATCAGTGTCTTATATAGCCTGCTCTGCATTTTTGATCAATTATCATGTTTGGCAAAGGCAGCCATGTGCTAAGTAAATGTGAGATGCATTACTTGAGTGACATAATCCTTATCCAAAACAATTAATTTTCTTGGACTTCAATAAGCTAATCAAAGGAATTTAGCTGAAATGCATTAAAGTAAATAAAAGCATACCTATGGATATTTTGCTGTTGGATAAGCTCTCCATTTATTAAACTTCCTTGGGATTCAACCTGAAAGGAAGCCAAAACAGAGAGGTCCTATTGGCTTTTTAAAGATCTGCCTCACTTGTACAAAGAAAAAAACTAAACTTTCCAAGACATACCAAAAATATTAGAGTTAATAAAATATTTTATTTTTTAAAAAAATTTGCAGTTGCATTTAACTTTCCTTTCAGAATACAAATCCCATAAAGTGTCTTATAAATACCATGAACAAATATACATGTAATATACTTTTTTTTAAAAAAGTGTTAGAATCAGGGGGGATGTTTGCCTGACCACATAATTCATTATGCATTTTTATGAAATAGTTCTTCTTACAGAAGCAATATTTTAAGAAATCTTTCTATTCTATTTTTGATTCTATTGTACAAGTTTATATCTCTCATCCTAATTCAAATGTCCCTAAATACAGTTCCCTAAGACCATATTATTTGGGCCAACATTTCACATTAGCCTATGATTTTTTAACAATAATTTCTTGAACAAGTTTTGTAGTTCATACTGTTAAGTCACATTGGATAGGATTGCACATTATGTTAAGTCAAAAACAAAAAACAAAAACCTAAATTTCAGAATGATTTAGTGAAATTATTTCATTTCTAATCTTTCCAATAACTGGAATCTTCTGGATTATTTAAACCAATTTTAAAACAATATATGTTGAACCTTGGGTTTAAATATCAAAGTATTAAGAAAAATTGCTCTTTCCATTAGCAACTTAAATAAACATCATTGTACAATCAAGTTTCCTTATGATACAGGTTAAGATTTAAATTTTAGTTTGATATCATTGTGATTCTATGTGTGTCATACTCCAGTTCTTAAGTCACACTTAATTTTAGAACTAAGAGTTTACTGAAAAGGATAAGCATTGCAAATATATAAAAAAACCTATCTTAAAAATGAAACTTAGATTACTAACTTCTGAGAAACAATTGAAATAAAGTTTGAAATGAATAATCTTACTCTAATTAATAGATTCACAAATAAGTGTCATTAATTACATAGTTCAGCAAATTTTAGGCAGCAGATTGCAAAATATTTTCTTTCTAAGAGAATTATTAAGTTACAATTATTAGACTACTTTGGGTATTTTGGTTTTATCACTATCTAGTGACGTTCTAAAAATGTGCAGTTTAATTTCACCTGGGCAAGAGTAAACTAAAGTACATTTTTAAACCTACCAAAATAACAGTAATTGTAACCATCTTATTAGGACTAAAATGAACTAAAGATATAAAGAGACAAAACCTGTTTTTGAGATTATTTTAAAATGATACCAAAAGTCACTGAACCAAAAACCAAAAAATTAGAAGTCTCAATAAACATTAATTTAGTTTACCAAAATCTAAACACGTTGATCTCATTAAACTCAGAGGCAGAAATTGTACATATCAACATTTAATTTTACCCCTTTATGTACCTTTCTCATAACAGATATCGTAATTTAGAAATTATTTCCTTACAGATTTTTGCAATTCCTTCTTAAGATGATTGCATTCTTCCCTCAGTTTCTCCAAATCCAGCTCCAAATTGTGCAGCTTCAGCTCACTGTTCAGTTTGTCTATTTCCCAGTTAGATGGGTTAGAATTGAAACTCTTCATCACTGAAAGGAAACAAGACCTTTATTTTCTCAGAATAATCAAATTAGATAATGAAAATGGTGCTAAAACTCATTTCTCATATATCTTTCTGTGTATATGGTAAATTTGAATCCAATCTTACTTTTTGTATATAAAGTTTTTTTTAACCAACACCGAGTATGTTAATAAACCCTCAGCAAAGAAAGAGTTCAAGTAGAAATGTACTGTAATGTATATGTTCTCTGTTATTACCGTATATACTCGAGTATAAGCCAAGTTTTTCAGCACATTTTTTGTGCTGAAAAAAAAACAACCCTTGGCTTATACTCGAGTGAGATTCCCTCTGAAAAAAAAAATGCTATGGAGCTCCGGAGCTGGGCAGCCGCTTCCCTGCTTCCATGTTTCCTTTGCAACTTGTAAGCATGGGGGTAATCGGAAGCAGAAAAGTTCTTGCATGAGGATATATTGTTTTTTCTTTATTTAACTGTTTTTAGGGGGGGGGAAGACCCACCGTCATGTGAGAATGCTCAGACACGAAATCTATCCGCCTGAAAATAAGTGTGTGTGTGTGGGGGGGAATTTTAACAGAGGGAAGACATAGGGAGAAGGCAAAAGCGACGGAAGATCCTTCAGGGGAAACTGAGGGGGAGACTCACCCTTGGTCCAGATGAGCCCCCTTCCCCGCCCCTAAGGAAGCAGAGGCAGCCAGCAAGGGCAGGCAAGCCCCGCTTCGCGGACTCCATCCGTCCTTGCTCCCACCCACCCACCCAAAGCCACGAAGTCCCCCAATCGAGTAGCCCAGAATCGCCCTCCCCTCAGGGGGCAGCAACGACGCCCAGTGTTTCCTGAAACAAGAAGCTCCGCCATGCAATGAAAGCGCCCTGTCTCTAGGCTCAGAAAACAACGCGAGCCGAGGTGGCTTCGATTCCTCAGCCCCAGCTGCTTTCAGTCCGCTCGGGAGGAGGAGGAGGTGGCGGCGGCGGCTCGCGTTGTTTTCTGAGCTCTAGGCTCTAGATCTCAGAAAACAACGCGAGCCAAGGTGGCTTCGTTTCCTCAGCCCCAGCTGCTTTCAGTCCGCTCGGGAGGAGGTGGAGGAAGTGGTGGAGGACGGAGTCTGCAAAGCGGGGCTTGCCTGCCCTTGCTGGCTGCCTCTGCTTCCTTAGGGGCAGGGAAGGGGGCTCATCTGGACCAAGGGTGAGTCTCCCCCTCAGTTTCCCCTGAAGGATCTTCCGTCGCTTTTGCCTTATCCCTATGTCTTCCCTCTGTTAAAATCCCCCCCACACACACACACACACTTATTTTCAGGCAGATAGATTTCGTGTCTGAGCATTCTCACATGACGGTGGGTCTTCCCCCCCCCCCCCGTAAAAACAGTTAAATAAAGAAAAAACAATATATCCTCATGCAAGAACTTTTCTGCTTCCGATTACCCCCATGCTTACAAGTTGCAAAGGAAACACGGAAGCAGGGAAGCGGCTGCCCAGCTCTGGAGCTCCACACCATTTTTTTTTTTCAGAGGGAATCTCACTCGAGTATAAGCCGAGGGGTTTTTTTTCAGCACAAAAAATGTGCTGAAAAACTCGGCTTATACTTGAGTCAATAAGTTTTCCCAGTTTTTTGTGGTAAAATTAGGTGCCTCGGCTTATATTCGGGTTGACTTATATTCGAGTATATACGGTAATCTATAAACAGACACAAAATCTTCAAGTTCAATACATTACCAGTTTTTTAAAAAGTTAAAAGGCTGAATATATTTCTTTATAACAAAATACATATATTTTAAAATATAAAAATAATTAATCCTCAATAACAATCTCAATTAATTTTTAATTGGGACTTTGAAAAAGAAAAAACTAACATAGTAAGTCTGTGCAATTATCCAAGGAAAATTATTCAATATTAATGACTATTGTTTCAGTTGTTGAAGCTTGAGACTAATATACTGGATAATCATAATTTATTTTATTTTTACAGGGCTTATAGACTGTAGATAAACTAACGATTCTGCATGCCATACAACCCCACCAATATATAATTGGGATTAAACCAGTGAATCAAAACAATATATTGTAATAGCACAAAACTGAAAGAAATAGAAATCAGTTCACATTTAGGAATACAGGTAATCCTCAGGTTACAACCATTCCCTTAGATCTCCTCTTTGTCATAGTTTCTTTGCCTGCTTCATTGTTTCAGGCTTTTGGTGTATTTGCAGAGAACAGAGGCCAAACAGTGGAAAGGCTTTGGTAGTTCAGGCATTCCTTCTGTTTGCCATTTTCTTGCCAAAGCCTACAGGGAGATTGCACAGTAGGGACCCTAGAGGAGGGAGAATGAGGTATCTGTGGGTCAGGAGAGGCCTTGGGTGGTCTTAAGCAGGTGGCCTGTTACATCACTAGCCCCCTCCATGGGCTTCTCCCCCAAGATATCTCATGTGCACTTAACAAACCACACATTCAATTATCAAATGTGTGAGTGAAAGCAGGGAGTGACCTCATTCAAGGCACAATATTTTTTTCCACAAATCCTTGGGTTACAAATGGAATGAGAAGGCTCCATTACATTACTAACTCGAGGAATACCTGCACTTATAGCAAACCAAAGCATGGCTTGATGAAACATCCAAATTTGAATGTCAGGGAGATATTATTCCATGGAAAGGCAGTAACAACCAACAAGCTGTGGTTCATAGTCCATGAGGACTGCCATCTCGAACTGATGAAACACATAAAGAGCCTGCCATACTAGATCTTATCAAACAAGCAAATGTTGCTGGGATAAGAATGAAACTTATCATCATATTTTTAATGTATCACTCCTCATTTATTTTGGGATGTTCTGGATTTTTGAAAACTATATTCTTTTTTTTTCTCTTTTCTGATTAATGATTATTTGAATTTGAAATGCTGCTAGAAAACATTCTTGTAGATATCAGGCTTGGACCACATTTTCCTGGAATTTGACAATTTTACTTACTCAGCCAGGAGCCAAACTGTAAAGTCAGGTATTCTCTGCATTCTTATGCATGCTTATTATTATGCATGCTTATTATTACATTAGCAGTAATGATTTTGCAGCTAAGTCTAGAAAAAAAATATGGTCCCTTGAGAGGGAAGTAATCCAATCTACCTTAAGAGACAAATATATAATTGCTACTGAAAAGGTGTTTTCTTCACAAATCTTTCAACAGCCAGATTTGTTTCTAGGGCACAGTGTTTGAATTAGTAGTTTCTTTTAAAACTTCTTAATATTTAAATCTAGCACTAGGTCTGTTCTAATCAAGAAAACAAAGCATGATTTCCAGAACTGTCAGAGGTTTTGGGTAGTAGGATACTCTTCAGACGGGGTCTCTACATTGGATACTGAAGGTATTGTGCTTAGATAATTAAATTATTATTTTGATTGCCATGTTCAGAAAAGGTGCTGGTTAAACATTGACTTCATTGCCTGAAATCACTTTAATTTGCTCTATTCTGAGTTTCTAATATGAACATATTTCTTAATGAAGCTATCAAAAAATCTGGGGTGAAGCATCATGAAGTAGAGAAGTGCAAAATGTTTCAAGACCAAAACAGCCTGTTTAGACATTGGAGTTGTCTACAAGATTGGAATGGAATGTACTGGGGTGAAATTTTCAGTTTTATCAGCTATATATGGTATCACCTGATTTTATATTTTCATGATACATGTAAAGTTATGGTAGCATTAAGTGCTGCAGAGATGCAATAATGGAATTTTTGTGCTCAATAAATAGAATCTCAATCCAAGAAAAAAATGCTAGGATGATAAATGGTTCTTTTGACCAAATTAATAGTCATACTGCACTTGAGAAGATTGTATACCTCCAAACAAACTTCAATAAGAAATCTGCAATCTTAGGATGTCACTCATCCAAGCCAAAGATGTCATAAAAAATTAAGCTGTCTCTGAAGCATGGATTGGTGTTCTAGTCTCAATCCATCTAATGAGAAAGAACTGGTGTTCGGTGAGCCATACTGAGATCTCTACTGAATTATACCGCTCTTAATTGTGAATCTGCCTTTAAAGATGGTTCAGCAACTGCAGTTAGATCAAAATACAACCACAAGGTTGCAGAACTGGGATATTTCATGAGTAACATATTGCTTGTATGTTTGCCAACTGTAAAATTAACCCAGTTTATTTCAAGGTTCAACTAAAACGTCCTTGTTTTGATTGCTAAAGTTACCTTATCATAGGGACAGTAAGAATGAGTCCAATTTGTTATGTATAGACAGGCCTACATAAAATTGGCTCTTGCTTACAGAATTCTCTCTCCAGTGAGATGGGGCCATACCAACTAGGATGTTGCTCTTGTATCAACTTAAGACAGGTTTCTAAGTTTTTATAACAAAAACATGTTTGCATTAAATTCTCACATGTTCTGAAATTGCTCTAAGATGCATACTTTGTTATCATTATGTGTTGGATTTATATCCTGTTACAGGCACTTGGTGAACTTCCATTGCTGAAATTTGAAGTTGGGTTTCCCAGTCTTAATCAATACTTTCCAAGACCTTAATCACTACTGAACATTATACCACACCAGTAATAGCAATGCCTCAGTTACATTAAAAAATATATTAACTTTTAAAAAAGGATTGCAGGTCACAGCACTTGGCATAAATGAATACTGTTATACACTCAGATAGACAAAGTGCACCTTGTTGAGTTTCCACTTCTGTTCTTAGCTGTAAGAGTTCTACTTCTTTAGACTGCAACTGCTCATTCAAGATTTTCACATATTCCATGTTCTCTTTCATCTAATTTGAGAAATATATAAATTATCAGGGCTTTATCATTATTCTAGCTGAAGTCTGAGTCTAAAGATCAGTTGGTTCTTCATAAAGATCTGGCCAAATTACTATGTTTCTTTTACTGTTTCAAATGCACTACCAGTTGAAAAAAAAAATAGCACGGGAATATTGTTTTGCTTTTAGAGGGAAGAAAAAATTCTTGTTAATTACTAATAATCAATTAAATTATACATCACATTGCACTCAGTTAGCTAGCATGCTTTCCAAATTGATCACCAACTTTTTATTCAATCTATTTTTCATCTACAAAGTTTTTGCACTCCACTTAATTTTAAAAAAGATATATAAGGTAGCCCTCAACTTACCACCACAATTGAGCCCAAAATTTCTATTACTAAAAGAGACATTTGTTAAGTGAGTTTTGCCCCATTTTATGATCTGTCTAGCTATAGATGTTAAGTTAATCACTGCAGTTGTTAGGTTAGAAACATGGTTGTTACTGAATCTGGCATCCCCATTGACTTTGCTTGTTAGAAAGTTACAAAAAGTGATCACATGACCACAGGACATTGCAAAGTCATAAATATGAGCCAGATGCCAAGCCTAAATCTAAATTTGTCTATATTTTGAGCATGCGACCATGAAGAGGCTACAATGGTCTTTAGTGTAAAAAAATGGTTATAAATCATTTTTTTCAGTGCCATTGTAACATCAAAGTCATTGATCGAATTGTTGCAAATCGAGGACTACCTGTAGTGATTTGTACTGAATTACTTTAACAACCTATGCTTTTAATGCGAATCTCACTCTCATTCACTCAAACAGCAAATTCAGACAATTAATATCAGAACAATTAGGAGACAAGTGGGGTCTCTAAAAAAAAGAGAAAATATCAATCAAGGTAGATATTCAGAAATTCAATATTTTTAAAAATCCAGGATTTACATATAAATATTCCTTAATTGAACTGTTTTGATATTAAAAAAGATACACTCATTTTAAACCCACACATAAAAATGAATAAGAAGTTAATACTTATCTTTTGCTAGATCATACTCAATATCTTTAGTGATCCAAACTTAATTTGCTCCATGTTAAAATATTTTTCTATATGAGGTTCAAGCAACATTGTTTTATTTTATGCTACTCCAAAATCATACCGTTTTATCCAGTTGACTTTTCAGATTATCTCGTTCAATACAAGATTCCCGATATGCTTGATAAGCTTTGTTAACTTGCTCACGACCCACAGAACTTGTTGCTTCTTCCAAATGGGATTCAAGAAGCTAAAAGATTACAACAAGATGTGGCTTAATCATTATTCAAATATTTTCAAATAAGTGTTTAATGTTAAACCAAGTGAATTTCCTTAGTGCTGGCCATAAGTTTTAGGCAATAACTTCCAAGTAGTGAATGTATCTGTTTCACATGTGCTTAATTACTTTACACATTACTTAAGATAAAAGCTAGTTTTTAAAAATCATACTAACATTAATAATGTTGAACGATATAACCTTGAAAGAAAAATATATTGCTAAAATTACTTGCCTTTTCTTCTAACAATCTTACTCTTTTCTTTAAGAAAGAATTTTCTTTTTCTGTCTCTTTCAGGCGCTTTTTAATATCTTCATAAGCAGTGACAAGGGCAAAATGTGAAGCAACTGATTCTTCTCCTGAAGACACTGGAATAGGAAATTGTCCATTTTGTCTCTGATGAGTGTCTGCTTTTTCATGGTTCAGGATATCAATGTCATCTTCAGCTAGTTCTTCCATGATACCTGAATAAAAATAAAATAATCAAAAATAAAAATAATAGAGACCCAAAACTGACAATTTCAACTGCCAGTAAAAAGAAAATATTATTGAGCTGCTGTTTAAGGAAGATCAGATAGCATGCCTGACGACCCAATGTTTAAGCACCTAATTGAATCAGTCAGTATGGCCAAGTTTTACGTACTGTATCAAACCCATAAGCTACCATTACTATCAATCAAGGAAGCACACAGCCTGTGAGCTTCAAAGCCCATTGTATTTACCAATTTGTTTGTAATTGTGGAGACAATTACACCAGCAGAACTGATAGATGCCTGGTTTTCAAAATGAAGGAGCAATTTCTGAAATGGGTTCCGACAATACTGGGTAATCCAACAGCAAACCACGGCCACAAAATGCCTTCTTCTGCTATTGCGAGACATATACTAGCTACACATCACCAAGTCAATTCAAACACTGCATTCAAGTTTGCTGCACCACAGGAACTCTCGTTTTCTGCATTTCGCTGAAATGGTTGCCATCAATCGATTGAAATCTCAAGCAGAAACAACTGTATGTCAATCTTTGCCTTCTGTGGGCATAAGGTTTGTCATGGGCTGGTTTTCCGCATACATCACATGTTTAACAAACATTCTCGCTAGCCCTATATTCTATGTTGCTTTTTACCATATTATTGTAATTTAGTACAAAATGACTGTACCTACCACTATTCATTTTTAACTGCATTGTTTAAAAACAATCATAACATTGTTAAGCATCCAATAAGCAAATACACAAATACACACACACACACACACACACACGGCATTTGTTGGATTTTTGCAATTCTGACAAAATATGGGGCTATATCCAATCCTGTTTGAATTGTCTTCCATAGAAAAACAGGATTTCCTGTTAATCTTCTACCCTTCCTGCTACTTACCCTGCTACCATCTGCTTTGGCAGGCCTTGCAACATTCCGGAGAAGAGTTGGAAAGGGCTGTAGTGTATACATAGAAAGAGATTCATCTGTTCTTTTAAGGTATAGATGCAACTTTCCCAAAAGCTCCTTTTCCTAAAACTTCTACTTAAAGATGGCTATTTTGGAAAGGATGAACACAATTTGAACTTATGGAATGTCAATGTTCTCTTGAACTTTTATTTTAAGATAGTATGTTTATTTATCATCTCATTTTTACATTTCAGTATGTTTTCATCCCATATTTTCACTATGTATCATATTGAAAAATGACACTGAAGGAAAAGCAATGTGACAATGCCCCTCAAAGAAGATTAAAAAGAAAAAAACCCAATATATTTCTATTAATCTGTTTCCAGAAAATCTAAGAGACTTCCCACTTTAAAGATAAAATATTTGGAAAAAAATCTAGATTTCATTCAAATGCAACAGCAATATAAAATATAATTGAAATGTTAAAAATTAGTCCCATTAAAATACACTGCACAAAAAAATAAAGAGAACACTTAAACAACACAATGTAAGTCCAAGTCAATCACACTTCTGTGAAATCAAACTGTCCACTTAGATAGCAACACTGATTGACAATCGTTTTCACATGCTGTTGTGCAAATGGAATAGACAACAGGTGGAAAGCATAGGCAATTAGCAAGACATCCCCAATAAAGGAGTGGTACTGCAGGTGGTGACCACAGACCACTTCTCAGTTCCTATGCTTTCTGATGGATGATTTGGTCACTTTTGAACGCTGGCGGTGCTTTCACTCTAGTGGTAGCATGAGACGGAGTCTACAACCCACACAAGTGGCTCAGGTGGTGCAGCTCATCCAGGATGGCACATCAATGTGAGCTGTGGCAAGAAGGTTTGCTGTGTCTGTCAGTGTAGTGTCCAGAGCATGGAGGCGCTACCAGGAGACAGGCCAGTACATCAGGAGAAGTGGAGGAGGCCATAGAAGGGCAACAACCCAGTATCAGGACCGCTACCTCTGCCTTTGTGCAAGGAGGGACAGGAGGAGCATTGCATGCGGCTGCTCAAACAGTCAGAAACAGACTCCATGAGGGTGGTATGAGAGCCTGACGTGCACAGGTAGGGGGTGTGCTTACAGCCCAACACCGTGCAGGATATTTGGCATTTGCCAGAGAACACCAAGATTGGCAAATTCGCCACTGGCACCCTATGCTCTTCACGGATGAAAGCAGGTTCACACTGAGCACATGTGACAGACATGACAGGGTCTGGAGACGCCGTGGAGAATGTTCTGCTGCCTACAACATCCTCCAGCATGACCGGTTTGGCAGTGGGTCAGTAATGGTGGGGGGTGGCATTTCTTTAGGGGGCTGCACAGCTCTCCATGTGCTCACCAGAGGTAGCCTGACTGCCATTAGGTAGCGAGATGAGCTCTTCAGACCCCTTGTGAGACCATATGCTGGTGCGGTTAGGTTCCTCCTAATGCAAGACAATGCTATACCTCATGTGGCTGGAGTGTGTCAGTAGTTCCTGCAAGACAAAGGCATTGATGCTATGGACTGGCCCGCCCATTCCCCACATCTGGGACATCATGTCTCACTCCATCCACCAACGCCACATTGCACCACAGACTGTCCAGGAGTTGGGGGATGCTTTAGTCCAGGTGTGGGAGGAGATTTCTCAGGAGACCATCTGCCACCTCATCAGGAGCATGCCCAGGCATTGTAGGGAGGTCATACAGGCACGTGGAGGCCACACACACTACTGAGCCTCATTTTGACATTTTAAGGACATTACATCAAAGTTGGATCAGCCTGTAATGTTTTTTTCCACTTTAATTTTGAGTGTAACTCCAAGCCCAGACCTCCATGGATTGCTAAATTTGATTTCCATTGATAATTTTTGTGTGATTTTGTTGCCAGCACATTCAACTATGTAATGAACAAAGTATTTAATAAGAATATTTCATTCATTCAGATCTAGGATGTCTTATTTTTGTGTTCCCTTTATTTTTTTGAGCAGTGTAGAATAGAATAGAATAGAATAGAATAGAATAGAATAGAATAGAATAGAATAGAATAGAACTCTTTATTGGCCAAGTGTGATTGGACACACAAGGAATTTGTCTTGATGCAAATGCTCTCGGTGTACATAAAAGATACATTAATCAAGAATCAAAAATCATAAGGTACAACACTTAATAACAGTCATAGGGTATAATAAGGATACAAGCGACAAAGTTATAGTCATAGAGTCACAAGTGGGAGGGGATGGGTGATAAGGAGTGATGAGAAGATTAATAGTAATAATAGTGCAAACTTTTTAAATAGTTGGACAGTGTTGAGGGAATTGTTTAGAGAATGATGGCATTCAGGAAAAAACTGTCCTTGGGTCTAGTTGTTCTGGTGTGCAATGTTCTATAGCATCATTTTGAAGGTAGGAGTTGAAACAGTTTATGTCCAGGATGTGAGGGGTCTGTAAATACTTTCACAGCCCTCTTTTTGACTTGTGAGGTATACAGGTCCTCAAGGCAGGTTGGTAGCAATGTTTTTTTTCTGCAGACCTAATTACTTTCTGAAGTCTGTGTCTGTCTTGTTGGGTTGCAGAACCAAACCAGACAGTTATAGAGGTGCAGATGACAGACTCAACCATTCCTCTATAGAACTGTATCAGTAACTCCTTGGGCAGTTGGAACTTTCTGAGTTGGCGCAGAAAGAACATTCTTTGTTGTGCTTTTTATGACTTTTTGATGTTAAGTGACCATTTTAGGTCTTGAGATATGATAGAATCTAGAAATTTGAAGATGTCTTCTGTTGATAATGTGTTGTCTGGTATTGTAAGAGGTGGTAGTATGGAAGGGTTTCTCCTAAAGTCTACCACCATTTCTACGGTTTTGAGTGTGTTCAATTCCAGACTGTTCCTGTTATACCACGAGGCAAATTGTCGTCTGTATGCAGATTCATCATTGTCTCAAATGAGACCAATCACTGTTGTATCATCTGCAAACTTCAGTATTTCAATAGATGGATTGTTTAAGATGTAGTCATTGGTATATAGGGAGAAGAGGAGAAAGCACACAGCCTTGGGAGACCCCTGTGCTAATTGTACAGGTTATCTGATGTGATTCTGCCTAGCTTCACCTACTGCTTCCTGTCTGTTAGAAACTTATGATCCACTTACAAGTGTGTTCAGGTACCGCTAATTGGTTTAATTTACTTAGAAGAATATCTGGACTGATGGTATTGAATGCTCAACTGAAGTCTACAAAAAGGACCCTTGCATAGGTATTTGGAGATTCAATGTGTTATAAGATGTAGTGCATATTAATAGCATCATCTGTCAATCTATTTGCTCGGTATGCAAATTGCATGGGATCTAACAGTGGATCCGTGATGGTTTTCAGGTAAGAGCAACTGGTCTGTAATCATTCAGTTCTCTGATGGAGGGCTTCTTTGGCATGGGATGATAGTAGGCTTAAAATAAAAGTATTATTCAAAAGCAACAAAAATAGAGCTGTTTCAGTCTGCTTTAGCAGTATTGGATAATGGCATTTCATCCAAAGGCTTTAAACAGAGACTTACAAAACTAGCTGACATTTTCCCCTTTGAGTAAGTTACATCAATTTCTATTTAGCATCAATTCTTGTCCTAAATTTTAGATATATTCGCTTTCAGAGAAGAAGTAGCCAACAAAAGGACCTCTTTGAATTGCTTGGAAAATGGACCAAAAAGTAATCTCTGTTAAAATTGAACAACCCTCTCTCAACAGAAGGGGAGGGATATGACATCATCCCTATCCTGTCCTCAACAGTCCTTTCAGCAGTTCCAGGAAGGTTCCACACCCATTTGCACTCTGATTCAGGTGAATCTATATTCTTAGGTGACTCAGATTAACTCAGATATAACCAATGAGTCTCAGAAAGCAAACACTAACAGCCAGATGATTGCAAAGAATACAAATCCTTCCATTCCCCAGAATTAAGTCAGATCTCAAGAAGCTTCTTGGATGAGAAGCCTTTTGAAAAGCACAAATGGGACAACTATGATCTGAATAATTGAGAATCTCCATAGACATACATGGGACTCTTTTCTCCAGAATAGGTGAGCCGAGAGAGAGAGAAAAAAACTTGCCCTGGTTTTAGTAAGCACTTCCACATCTATGGTGGACTCGAACTTGGATCTCTTCTATTTTACCACATCTTAATCACTGTCATTCTGGCTATTTTGTTGATGACTGTGTTAATTATATATTGCCTTCAGAAAGAATATCTAAATTATTGTCACCAGGGGAGTGGAAATTTATTGGTTTTGTACTTTATTTTTGTAAGCCACCCAGAACAACCATGTGTTGGCTAGCCATATACATTTTCTCAACTTCTTCCATAAATACTCAATTAATTCACTGAGATAGCTGGTGAAGACTGACTTTTTGAAGAATATTTCTAAAAAGGAATATTACAGGTACCTAAAAGTGGTCTTTTCAGGCGAAAGATACAAATCAAAGAGTTGTGTTTGAAAATACATTTTTAGAAAGAGGATTCTATATAATGAAACATTTAAACTTGCATTGTAACAAGAAGACCAAGTACCAGGCAGATAGGAGAGAGAAGAACAGGTATCTTCAAAATTTTACAGAAAGATGTAAACTTAATACAACAGAATTTATCTTTATGTAGTACCAGAAAGTAAACTAAATCTTGAATATGTTCATCTAATTCTGACTGTTTAACCTAACTTTCAAATAAGCTTTTCCATTTCTCCAGTCTCAAGCAATTTTCAAAAAATATAATACATTATTTTTAAAGCCATTCTCATTATTTCAATGAAAAGGGGCTGCCATTTTGGTTTCTAACTCTGTTGTTAGAAACCAAGGAGGAGATATGGATGGACATGGAATATACAACTAAAAAAAAACCATCCTGATTACTCCTAAGTTTTCCTATATAACAGTGAAACTTAGAAGAAACAAAGTTAGATTTAAAATATAAAAAAAAAAATAGGGATGAGGAGTCAATTAAATTGTCTTAAATCATTAAAAGAACAAATCTCAGAATAACATATATGTTGAATA